AATCGACACCTCGACTCTATAACTGCAACGCTTGGGTCCCGATTTTGTTGCAGTTATCCAGTCTTTACTGTATATATATATTCCTTCATTTTTCTAAAACCAGAGTATTTATCAGTCAGTCAGTCAAAGCGAACTCTTGACGTCTGCACGACAAGATATCAGTCAGTCTTACTGTACGCATTAATAAAGACTAACCTAAATTCCGCTTGGAATCGAAGATTATTTAATATAATAACCCTGATCCCTGCGGAATACAACATAACGAAAACTCACAAACAGAAACGAATAAATTGTATGCCGCGAATAATAGACAAGAATGAAAACAGACTGACATAGACAACGAGAATATAGACAGTGACTAGTATCTACTAGTACTAGTACTACAATGACTAGTATCAACGGATAGCGTCGTCATATAAGAAAGAAGTAAAACATGCGTACATACATTAACTGTAGGCCGATCTCTGCGAATCTCTGAGAGCGGAATTTTGAGTAGATAATAAAATTGAACTAAACCTGTCAGTGGGAGCAAATAACCAATTTAAAATACGAAGCAAACACAAATAGGACTAGAGGAAAGGTAGAATAACAAGGTGTAACTCAATAATACTGGATGCGACAACACAGCTCTAATAGATAAACGATGAGATACAAACCTTACAACAACACAACTTGTGACGGATCGGCGAGGGAACGGGGAAGAGGTTCCCTGAGATGAAGGGCGACTAGGGAAAGTGGTCCTCCACAAACCGAAGCTCACACCCACGGACGATTTCTACTTCTGGGCGCCAGTGCAAGTGCACGCATCCGGGGGAATTGACCTTCCGGCTGCTCTTCCGAGAGCGGTACTCAGAGGAGGCCATCGGCTGTCCTTATTGAGACGACTCTGCTGACACCATCCTTACCGGGGCCGAATTTCTCTGGAACGGTGACCTTCCACTTGTTTCGCTGCTGCAGCTGGTGCAAATAATCAGCCTGCCAACCTCCAATAATGTTGATGCATCGCCTGAAGGAGCTGTGAAACCGACTCAAGTAGGGGAAGGTTGTTTAAGTCGTACCTCTAAAATAAAATTGTCTCTAAATTGAAAGTTTTGCAACAAAATATCGGTTTTGCGATATATATACCAACTTTAGTAAATACAGCTTTTATTCGTATGAAAATAATGCATCAGAACTGTTTATATTTCTGTAAAACATCAATTAAAAAAAATAGGTGATCGGTACGACTTATCAAACCGGTTTGTTAAGTCGTACCTCCGATCCCAAAGTCGTATCTATACCAAAGTAATATATAGTAATATAAAGCAATATCAGAGTAGATATTAGTTAAATAATAATTTATTTATTTGCAATTAGTACAAATGAATTTTTTGACTTTTTTGGACACTTCAGCACATTTGTCATGCATCCAAATTTTGCATTTTAGGCACTGAATCATATTATCTTTCCTATTCTCATCACAAAGAGTACAATACCACTCATTATTATTCTTTTTTTTCTTATTGGATGCTCCTGTTATTATTTTTCGCTTTACAGACGTCTCTTTTTGTTCTCCACATTTTTGCAGATAATCTTTATATGGAGACGACGTTAATTCTATAGTAGAAGCGCGTTTACGCGATGTGTCCTTCAAGAATGGCACTGGAGAAATAATATTTAAGCTTTGTTTTACATTATCAGCCGGGTTAGATTGCAAGGTAATAATGGATTCATCGGTAATAATATCAATTGAAAGAGTTTCAATATCAATTGATGAGGTCACTTGAGACGTTGATGGAAGAGATTTCTTAGGGTCTTCTGCAGCATCAATTATTTCGCATTCCGTATTTTGGACCGTAAAAGTGGGTTTTGGTACTGAAGTATTGTCATCACTATCCATTGCAAAAGAAGAGTCATCTCTAAACACATATTTGTTACATGGCCACAATCCTGTACATTTAAACCCATTCATTGCAATTTCCATGCGTGCAGATTTTGTATAAGCAATACCCAATAACTCCGAAACGTTGGATTGCTTAATTGTTTCACCAGGATGTGATCTTAGCCAAACTGCTGATGCTTCGTTGTAATAAGTTTTGAGAAATTTAAAAAAGGACAGATCCAATGGTTGAAGGCGGTGTGTCGTATGAGAAGGGAACGAAAGTAGTACGATACCATATTCACAAGCGAGTATAATGGCATCAATATTTTTTGTATGGCTCGAATGACCGTCTAATAGAAAAAGAATTTGTTTTTGCTCGCTCTTCACTAATCGTGTATAGGCAATAAAATGTTTTAACCATTGAAGGAAAAGTTCTGAAGTTATCCATCCACTTTTTGAGCATGCAAATACACTTCCGGGTGGTGCTCCTGATTTCAAATAATCATCCATACGTGCTCGTTTGAAAATTAACACCGGTGGTACAAATTCACCTGCTGCATTCATGGTGCGTATGCATGTTGTTGTCATTCCTCTTTCTCCACTTGTTACTGTATCCACTTGATGTTTTCCCCTTGCTGCAATAATTTTTGATGGCTTGTGAACTGTTGATAACCCGGTTTCATCCATACTATATATTTGATTGGGACTGAAGTTGTATTGTTCTAATATTTGTTCATATTTGCCAAAGAACTCATATACACGTTCTTTATTGAAGGCAGTAGCTCTAGTCATGGACGTTGCTTCTGGAATTCGTAAAGCCAAGGAAGGGTTGTCTTTCATAAATCTGTAATACCAGTTCTTCCCTGCCATCTCTCTCGTCCTGTTCAATCGATGTTTTAAGTTATATTTTTCGGCCAACTGATAAGCCAATTTCCTCAAATCTTTGACCGTTAGCCCGAAAAAAAAACGCTCCAGCCTAAGCACATGTTCGACTAATTCCCTTTCCATTTCTTTCGTTAGATCTTTTGGTCTACCAAAGCTTGTATGAGTGTTTAATTCACGCAAATGTCGGCGGAGGGTTGGTTTAGGAATGTTATAAGTCCTATGTGCCTCATTAAATCCCATTTCATTATTTCGCAGTTTAATTAAGGCCTCCTCCATATCCTCTGGTTTCCAGCTATTATATATTCTTTTCGACATTTTATTGGGTCTGTAATTATTAATAAAATAAGACGTTAAAACAGTCTAACTGCGCTGACATTGTAAAACGCATGGAACGTTAAGTCGTACCGGTGGTACGACTTAAAAAGTGCAAACAGGTACGAGTTAACGAACATGTGCTTCCCGTTCCACATAACCTCAATAAATACATCAGAAGGAATATTTAACAAAATCCATGTAGGAAACAATACATGGATAGATGTATAACCAATATTTAACATGCAATACATATTTAGTTGTGTTTTACTTACCACAGATGCTTTCAAACACCACAAGAAATTTAATGAGCACGAGGAACAAAATGATTTTTTGGCACAACTTTTCAATGCTGATTCGACGAGAACTGACTAAAGAACATGCTCGAAGTATCATCTTAGGCTACGCGAATACAGTATTCTAAGTTGCATATAGTGCGTTCTAATTATAGAAAAGACCTAGGTACGACTTACGTGGTGGTACTACTTAACCAACCTTCCCCTATATCAGATAGTGAGCTACCCGTGAGAAAGTCCCCAGGAGTCAAGGGAGTTAAATCTTTAGGATCGGTAGAGATCGGATACAGTGGCCGAGAATTCATACACGCCTCGATTTGCGTTAACACAGTGTATAATTCCTCAAACGTTAAACGAGTTTCTCCGATTACGCGCAACAAATGTCGTTTCGCGGATTTTACTGCAATTTGCCACAATCCACCGAAGTGTGGTGCATGAGGAGGAATAAAGAGCCAATCTATGCCTTCAATAACCGCAAACTCTAAAATATATCGCTGATAGACTTCATCTTTAAGAAATTGTTCGATTTTTTGCATCTCATTCCGTGCGCCCACGAAATTTGTGCCATTATCAGAGTATATCTGTTTACATTTACCCCTGCGCGCAACACTTCATATAATTGAGGCAACGCCCCCAGTTATTTGAACAGTCCGGTGACTTTTTGCCAGTATGAATCCGGGGTCATTAGTATTCCGGTGACCGTCCTGGCACTTTCGTCGCTAGTGGTGTAGATGAAGGCGGCGTCCGCATCTACTTTTATGGATGTGTATATGCAATGTTGGTCCGACTGGTGCACTGGCAGCAGCCCTTGAAAGGGCCAAGCTCTAACTAAGTTCGCTAACATCGACACGTACTCGTCTGGGAATCCGTTGACGTTGACCAGGAAGCTGTGTATCTTTGCAGCTTCAGCAATTTGCCTGAGTGTGGCGCGTCGAATATCAATAGCTATTTCATCCGAATGCACCTCGGCAACATCCCCGACGGTGTAAGCCAGATTTAGCTGCTTTATGCACAGCACAGCCTTTAATGCGAGCATTCTCAGCTCGGTACCACGCGCTACTATGCCATGTAAGGCGCCGATGCTCCCGAATTCTAAGTCTCTCACAGCTCCTCCATGTAGTACGCTCGTCTTAATCAAGTCATCATGGAACAGTCATGCGCCTTTGTCATTCCTAGCTAGCAGGTCCCCTGATTTTCCCATAGTCGATACGCTCGTTGGAATGATGCTCGTACTGTACTTCGCATTCACCCTCCGGGGCGCGATGCGTTCCACGTCCCACGACGGCCTCTTCTTCCCAATACCGCTATCCGGCACCATCTCCACCGTCGCTTGCGCGGTGATGCGTAAATCCGCGCTGTGCGTCCCAAAATTAAGTTCGTGGTTGAACAAGTTCGAGGTGAGTAACTTCAAAGCCAATTTGTCTAATATCGCATTCTCCTCCACTGTTGGGCTCACCACTACATTATCCAGTTGCGATCCAAACATGTCCGCGTCTATTTTCTTTAGGTGCTCGGCTACGCTTGTGCCACCGCAGAAGTGGTCCCTATGTTCTAAATTATGCTCCATCGCGCCGGCCTGGACCCTAGCCTTGTACCAACAGCACACCTAATGCCAGGAATTGACTCGGCCAAGTACCAATTGTCACGGAGCGCACAAGTGTGACTACTTGTTACTATTACCCAACACTTTTCAGAACATCAAAATTAACAGTAACTAACAAAAACAACAACTACTCAAAAAGAACACAGTGCAGTGATTAACACCACAAAGATTGAAGGTTTGACGTTTTCCTACAACGACGTGAGCTACTTTCAGCGGTCAATGGACAGTTGCACCCTAAGGTCTCTTCTTTCGTCTGTGACGCAATCCTTTTACCCTTATCTACACTATTTTCAATTACAGTGGCCTCATTTGTAGCCCACTTTCTAAGCTTGAACCCTGCTGTATCCAAAAGTTTCTCTATGTCCCTTTTGATAACTTGTGCCTCTTCTGCCCGTCAAAAGGCCATCGGCATAGAAATCTTTAATAATTACCCTACTCGCGTCGGGGTATTCCTCAATATTATCAAGACCAACCTTTTTTTTTTTGTGGCAGAACCAGCACTAAGTTGGGGTACCTTGGTCCGGTTGCGGGGCAATCGCCTTTCGGCATCTCTCCCGCATCCGGCATAGGTTGGCCAGCAGGAGGATTTAAGGTTAGATTAGGTTAGGCCCCTCTACCTTTCTCAACCGGGCTTGGGACCGGCTACGGCGGTAGCCCCCTGAAGGGTACGCCCTACATCTGTGGGAGCGCAGATGGGGCCGCCCTCTAGGGGGTGTTAGGTTAAGTAGATAAAAACTAGCTATCATTATATATATACAACCCTATCCTAACTAAAGACACCCAATTTATTATCTAGAACTAACATATAAATACAGACTACAATCCACATAGATGTAAACAAAAAAGAAATAGTCCTACTTAATAAATAAATAAATAAATAAATAAATAAATAAATAAATAAATAAATAAATAAATAAATAAATAAATAAATAAATAAATAAATAAATAAATAAATAAATAAATAAATAAATAAATAAATAAATAAATAAATAAATAAATAAATAAATAAATAAATAAATAAATAAATAAATAAATAAATAAATAAATAAATAAATAAATAAATAAATAAATAAATAAATAAATAAATAAATAAATAAATAAATAAATAAATAAATAAATAAATAAATAAATAAATAAATAAATAAATAAATAAATAAATAAATAAATAAATAAATAAATAAATAAATAAATAAATAAATAAATAAATAAATAAATAAATAAATAAATAAATAAATAAATAAATAAATAAATAAATAAATAAATAAATAAATAAATAAATAAATAAATAAATAAGCCTCATTTGTAGCCCACTTTCTAAGCTTGAACCCTGCTGTATCCAAAAGTTTCTCTATGTCCCTTTTGATAACTTGTGCCTCTTCTGCCCGTCAAAAGGCCATCGGCATAGAAATCTTTAATAATTACCCTACTCGCGTCGGGGTATTCCTCAATATTATCAAGACCAACCTTTTTTTTTTTGTGGCAGAACCAGCACTAAGTTGGGGTACCTTGGTCCGGTTGCGGGGCAATCGCCTTTCGGCATCTCTCCCGCATCCGGCATAGGTTGGCCAGCAGGAGGATTTAAGGTTAGATTAGGTTAGGCCCCTCTACCTTTCTCAACCGGGCTTGGGACCGGCTACGGCGGTAGCCCCCTGAAGGGTACGCCCTACATCTGTGGGAGCGCAGATGGGGCCGCCCTCTAGGGGGTGTTAGGTTAAGTAGATAAAAACTAGCTATCATTATATATATACAACCCTATCCTAACTAAAGACACCCAATTTATTATCTAGAACTAACATATAAATACAGACTACAATCCACATAGATGTAAACAAAAAAGAAATAGTCCTACTTAATAAATAAATAAATAAATAAATAAATAAATAACATATACACCTAATTTATATGTACATATATCTATATTCCCCCCACCATTGATGTACCCCACCTCTGGTTGGGGGTTGTTCAGTCATTAAATCAATTCCTATAATTATTAATAACTAAGGCAATTAATTATTTAATTAATTTAACTGTTGTCTTATTATCATAGAGATTAATCCTAGATTTCCTTATTAAATTGTTTATAACGTATACATGCAATATTTAAACACTTTTATCGAACAATTACACTTCCACTATTGTCCATATAATATTAGTAGTAAAAAATTGGTGTCTGATCCAAAATTTTATTGAAGTGTCCTGTGCCTATATGAACTAATTAGCTTTTAGTATAAATTATCTTAGGCGCTACAATGTGTCTTAATTAATTTACATATTGTTGTTGTTAACCATAGTTATATATGTACTATTAATTTAGCAGCAAATACTGTACTTTACTATTACTATACATACATTATATCTTTATTATGTACAGTATATTTTATTTTATTTTATATGTCTATGTATATATATTTGTATATGTAACTATGAACAGAAAATGCATTAAGCCTTTCTAGTTAGTAGCAAATAGAGTTATTAGGTAATTGTATATATATTCTATCAATTTCAAATTCAGGCTCAAAATTCAGACAATCCTTCCACTACATTTCCGATGTTACCGTACAAATTCTCTTCTAATATAGGCAAAACATCAAGATGAGTTCAACAATGTTCCCTATAACAAACTACTCACATCCCGTAATCCCTCTAATTATCCGTCAGACATACTATTATTCCATAACAGTTATTCGTCCCTACTCATGCTAACCCAACAAGAGTGCGTTAACAAGTCGATGCAATATAGTCAGCACATGCCCAGCTACTACGCTGGTTCACCCTTATACTAGTTACAGGTCTATATTCCAAAGGGATAGACAGGTATGCCAATTATACGGTTGATTTATACTATCAAACCCAAACGTTAATGTAAAATACAAAATATCCCTCTCTTTCTCTGCAAAAGCGTGTAATCCATCTCATATATTATAACATCATACATTGTATCCTAGTTCTATATCTGAATTTCAATAAACCCAGTGTATTCTATCAGATTATTACTCTATGTAAGGTAGGGAATTCTACGTTCCCTCATTTTACATAGAAACTGTCTTAATCACAGATCACTGCATCCCATTTTCACAAAAGAGGAGTCCATAATAATAGATTACTCTTATAATTATACACTTATCCTATAACTTCAAATGTATTTAATATCAGTATTATCATTGTTAGTTTAGTTCTTTATTCGATGAATTCGAAGTCAGACGTTGTTGAAATCGAAGTCAGACGTTGTAATTTATACTATGTATTCCATTAACTTGTCAATCAAAATAATCTATCATTTTTATTTTCATATATACTGAGATCAGCTATTAATTATTTACTATTCCTTTATTTTTTAAATTTATTAAGCTGTCTCCCTCACATTAGACTCAAATTAACTTAATCATATAATTAATCAATCAGTCTTTCTCAATTTCTGTTCAAAATTTAGTATAAAATACAGATAATGGTACACTACAATGACATTTATCACCTTAAGGTTACTAATTTTAGTCAGAACATTATTCTAACCTAATATTAATATACACAACACTTTTTAAAAACTTGTCTTTCACCTAATTGATTCACTTATCTCCATACTTGAGGTTAGAACACTAATTCATTTATATAATTATCTTTCGTCGCAGTATTCCACTTGCATAAACCTATTCCTTTCCTCACAGCTGATATTCTTTATTAATCTTGAATTAATACCTTTGTTTTTGTCACTTATTGTTCGATTCATCCTTTATCAAAATTTCTTTACCTTTATAATTCTTCCTATATATTTATTTTCAGCATATCTGCACTATTACTCCTCAAATCTTTGATCTATAATAATACCATAATCCATTTATACCTATTTAACTCCCTTTTTTCTAACCATGTCTCCTTTCCTTGCACTCTCCTTTTTCTTATTTAGTTAAAAGCTTTGTCTCTTAACAATATTTTATTCTATAACCTGTCAAATAATTTATAATTTATTTTATTCCCTTCAGTCACTTAGATATTAATTATTTACTATTCTTTTTATTTAATTATATTATCCCTCTCATATTAATCTCGAAAACTTTCTCGTGTAATCAATTAAAACCAGCCTTTCTCAGTTTCTGTGCTAATTAGATTTAATATACTAATAAAGATTCAATACGACGTTATTATAACCTTAAAGCTACTAGTTTTGGTCAGAGAGAAACTATTCTAACCTTATATTATTATGCACCACACTTCTAAAACCTTGTCCTCCACCTACAGATTCACTTATCTCAATGCACGAGATTAAAAGACTAATTAACTTATATAAATTATCTTTCAACACAGAGTTCCGCTTGACAAGCTTGGTCCAGTCTTCTCATCCTATCATATTAATTAATTATCTTGATTAATATCTTTATTTTTTGACCCTTATTATTCGATTCATCCTTTATTAGTATACTTTTATAATTATTTCTATGAATTTATTTTTAACATACCCATACTGTTATTCCTCACCTTTTGATCCATGATATTATCATGAATCATTCATCTCTATTTAGTTCCCACTTTCTTATAATTCTCCTTTCCTTACATATCAAGACCAACCTGTCGCAAACATCTCGTAGCCAAAAAAAAAGGGGTTGATGCGGTCCCATACGTAACGGTGTTAAGATCATAAACATCGAGTGGCTGTGAAGGGTCTTCTCGCCATAAAATGCGTTGCAAAGACCTTTGTTCAGGCGGTACAAGTACTTGCCTATACATTTTCTCTATATCGGCGCTAACAACCACGCGATGTTGCCTAAATCTAATAAGAATTGAGAATAGCTCGTTTTGAACTACTGACCCAACCCTTTGTACCTCTTTCAATGAAATTCCCGTTGATGTCTTTGCGGACCCGTCGAAAATACCCGTACCCTTGTGGTTGTGTTCGATTCCTTAATCACAGTATGATGCGGCAGGTAGTAAGTAAGACACGAATTTATCAAAGTATGCCGTGTTTACTCAGTTTATCGGTAGTTACTACATTACAAATTTGAGGTTGCGAAATAATACTATTTCTAAACCGTTCCACGAAGTCCCAACCTATTTGAGTTTTTATGAGGATAGGTAACCCGGGTCTCTAGACACGACCGATCGATACACGTCCGAAAAAGGATTACAAAATCGAATTCTAGCAAGTGCCGCTGTTCGGTTTGAACGAACGACTTTTCGGTTCGAGGCGCATATGCGTCGAGGGTAAATAGTCGGTTTGTGTATTTTGCCAGGTCGCGGTCGGTTTGATCTGCCGATCGCGTACAGTGTTTCGCTGAAGAGATTTTAAAAGATCTGACTCGATTTGCTTCCAGACGTAAAGTGGGGTAAATATTCTAAGTATTAACCCTTGAGACAATGATCACGGCGTGTGCCCGGAGTAGGGATACTCCATACCGCGAAGATACATGAATATATTATATATAGCGTGTACTTATAATTATGTAACCAGCATGGTTATATATGCCCCCATGAAATACCCGAGGAGAACTGGAACCTGGTAGTTACCAGCATAAACCATCCTCATAAAAGCGTCTTCGTCTGATGTAATTGGCCGATCAGACATATCTAAAACCTTGAGCAACCTAGCATAAGCTGCCGTTGCTACACATACTATGCCAAGGCTGATTCTGGTACTTTTCTGCTAAACCCGTTGTCTGTTGCTGCCAATGATTCGTGTATTTGAGATGCAATTTGATCTATCGAGTAAAAACCCGGATAAACAAGCATCCTGCTGTTCCTAGTATCTCGGGCTCGTTGAGAGAGCACGGCTGGCTGTCGTGGTGAGCGATATGTCGAACGAACACGGGGGCATCTTTGCGCTAGGGAAAGCGTAGAGCGAAAAGGCTGGTTCGCAAATATCCAACATGGCGGAGGAAAGGTCGTCGCGGTTGCGTAACAGTTCAACCAAAGAAAAAATAACCGCGACAAAATAACCGACGACAAAATAACCGAACGACAAAATAACCGAACGACAAAATAACCGAATGACAAAATAACCGAATAACAAAATAATCGTTCAACACTATAACACCACATATTAATTATATTCAACCAACATATTTATTACATATTTATGACATATTTATTACATTGACATTTTACGTGACATTTTCTATTAAATTATTTTTATTCTTATTCGGTAATTATAACATAAGTCGCAATTATATTTTTACAGTCATATTAATATAGACAAATCACAGTTATTTGATAATTACCAAGTATGCATTAGAACAAATTAAATACTATGTTGAATAAGATTCTTAGCTTATAATTATTGTATCAGTTAATAGTTAACAATCACAGTCATATCATTTATATTATCTTAACATATACTAAATATAACATTTTATCAAATTGTTAGTTACTTAAAATATATAACATATTACATTTTTTATTAGATAACTAATGTCTTCAATTAATAACTACCACATGAATTTTTATCGAATCTAGTATTAAACATTTTTTTCTGTAACAAACTTAGTCAATAACTAATAATCACAGTCGTATCATTAATATTACTTTTACATATCAAATATAAAACATTTTAGCAAATTCTTTTCGAAAAACTTTCAATTTACAACATAAGAATTGTCGCAATATCATGTAAATATTTAATTATTTTATTACGATCATATGATAAAACAATATTTTTCAAACGATAATCCAAATCAACATATTCACGTCTACGTTTACTAGCAATGCCTAATCCAGTGTCAGCTTGCGTAATTAATACATCAGTTTTAATCTGCTTTGATTTTATTACATCAATAAATTTATTAAAACTAGCATGAGCAACACGAACTTTTTTATTAAAGGACCTGTGCCATCTCTCAACAGCATTGTTACTCCGAATCAAATCATTAATAACAGCTTCATAATAATTCCATAGACTTAATGCAAAGTATGGCTTTAATCGTGACTTGCCACTCCTAGATAATACACCTATCCAAGTGCGCTCAAAATAATCAAGAATTCCATGTAACTCGTCTCCATGATCTTTGTAATACTTCGTTTCAACAAGTTGATCAAATGCACTACGAACATCATCAATAGGAACAAATGATAAAGCGAGTAACATGCGTATATTCAACGCAAAACGAGTATCAGTGTTATATTTGCGCTGTAATCCAGTTAACTGTACATTTCTCCAGAGGCATTGAGAATAATGAAATAAGCATCCAATAATTTTGGCATTTGGAAATACTATCTTGAAAGCATTCAAAGAACCATTTTCAAAGTCAAGCATCACTCTCGTAGGCTCCAAAGTAGGCATATGATTTTTCAAGACTGTCAGCACTTCAGTATAAAGATGCTTTTTCTTGTTAGGCAATAATATATATACTAACGGTAACATTTTCATATTTTTCCATCCATGAAGTGTATATAGCTGCTTAAATATTACTGGTACAGATGAAAATGTACCATCAGCAATCCATTGAGATGATTCATAGAGACAATTTAAATTTGATTGAGTAGTTGATATCAACATACGATTTTTATTTTGTCCACTATTATAATTCAACAGTCTTCGCTTTTTCAATTACAAAAAACCCATCAGGAGTATTTAAATCTTGACAAGACTTGGCAGCAGCAGCAACAGGAATATCATCATTTCCAACATTTGCTTTACGTACACGCTGAATATTACGTGACATTGATACCATTTTTGGCAAGCGAGCCACTACTGGAGATGATACCGTCGCAAGAACATTTTCAATGACCGACGCCGGTGGATCATCATTATTGCGACAACGTTTACTGATTTTTCTTAATACTTTTTTAGCTTCAACAAAAGAAATGTCCGCAGCATGATCGTGAATAAGCACCTCACCAATAACATTACCTATTCAATTATAAAATAAGATAAATAAGAAGCAAATATCAACAAATAAATAATTGAAATAACATTATAAATATTTTATAAAACATACAGGACGTTTATCACTATCAGTACGAACAGTAACTTTGCAATTAACATCAGAATAATAAGCTTTACAACGCCACGTGATGCTACTTTGATTTCTACTTTTGAGGTTAAATATATACCCATTTAATTGCAGCTGTTTTATTCCTTTGTTAGAAATAATAAATTGCAGTGGCATTATTATGACATATTAGTTTAATACACTTTTAAGAACAAATAAATCTAATGATAATTATTTAAATAAACAATTATATCATTAAAAATAACTTGTTTATACTTTTTGCCAGAGAATGTGACTTAATATGACGTAGTCTGAAACATAGCGTAGTCTGGAAATACCCGAGACACTAACACGCACAAATTCGTTGGATGGTGTCGGTCTTACTTACCTATATTAATGATGAGAGAGAGCGCCACTATAATCAAACTGAGCGGGAATTATAAATTCTTAAAGATTACGTCTTATATTTGAAATATTTTATTTTAAAATTAAACATAAAAAACAAAATATTGTTACATATCGAAATTTTATTAAATTAATTATCATTCAAAGATAATGATATAATAACATAATAACGTTGGATAGAAAACTATATTCAAAGTTTTCATAATTTTTATGTGATTGTGAGAGTGACACATAAATATATCCAAATTTATCCAAAATTTATCCAAAACATCAAAGTTTATAAAAAATCCGTAGTTATTTTGTGTGTGTTTATTCGACATTAGACCAACACGGTTAATTTGTCGTTTGGTTATTTTGTAGTCGGTTATTTTGTCATTCGGATATTTTGTCGTCGGTTATTTTGTCGCGGTTATTTTGTCGCGGTTATTTTGTCACGGTTATTTTGTCGCGGTTATTTTGTCTGCGGTTATTTAAGCGTAACACCGGTCGTCGCAAGCACATGGAGAGCGGCCCTTAAGGACAAAGCTTCAGGGTGAAGCGGAGGCACGCGGCAACAAGCAAGATGGCGGAGACATGGCGCGCATTTCAAATGGCAAGCGGAGAGGATGAAGCAAGAAGACAGTGAGGAGGAGAAGAAGAAGAGGCGAGGCGACACGGAACAAAGTAAAAGGAAGGAATAAATAAATAAATAAATGAAGTGAATGAGATTAATAATAATAATATTAATTAATTAATAATTAACTAATGAACCATTAATAAATAGTGAAGTGATTAATAGATTAATAAATAAATAATAAATAACAAATAATTAACAGATAGGCAATTAATTCGGCGTAGTGTTGGAAAGTGTTATGGGAGTGTAGTGAAGTGCTGTGAGTGTCATGGGTACAGGGGAATACACGTGACCACGTGCGCGAGCGCAGAGGAAGTAGCACAAAGCGGGAAAATGGCGGAAAATCGTCAAAAAAAGCAGTGGAAAACGCTCCAGCACCCTAGAAACACCGAAATCACAAAGATGGTGGAGCAAAGGGGCCGGTTCGAGAATGTCTAGCATGGCTGAGGAAGGAACGCTGCAAGCGCTTGGCGGGCGGCCCTAAAGGGTGAAGCGAAGGGATGCGGCAGCAAGCAAGATGACGGAGACATGGCGCGTTTTTCAAACGGCAAGAGATGGGGAAGAAGCGTGAAGACAACGAGGGGGAGAAGAGGAAGAGCAGGAACGGAAGAGGCGGAGAAACATAGACACGACCGATCGAACGACTCAAACCTGCAAAGGAGGAAACCGGTGTCAGCCTGATCATAGCGCCATTAGGGGGCTCAAAACGGTGACCGACGGAACGGGGGAGAGGAGGGAGAAAGGTCAAACTGTATCAGCCATCCTTCTGATCAATTGTCGATTCAGCAAGGAACTCACTCGTTAGCCTGGTCATGGCACCATTAAGGGTCGACAAAGGGGACCGAGCGGGATATCGGCAGGAGAGAGGAAGAGGAAAACTGTACCGAGAGCAAAGAGCTCATGTAGCGTTCGGAGAAATAGAGACTGGTAATAGTTGCGAAAAGTCC